CAGTTTACATTCAATACTATTCCACACCATGTTCTCTACAGAGTGGTCCCCGCTGCCCCAATTTCCCACCTGTCCCCATACCCAGTTATCTCGACATTATTAACTATATTCCCCACTGCAATCTGCATCTCTGTGGCTTTTCTGCAATCTGTATTGCTTAGTGCCTTCACCTTTTTCACCCAGCCCCCCAAACAGCTGTCAGTCTGTTCTCTGTGTCTGTGAGTCTGTTTCTATTGTGTTTGTTTCTTTTGTTCATTATATTCCACATATAAGTGAAATCATACGGTATTTGTCTTTCTCTGACCGGATTATTTCTTGTTAATAGCACTCCTTATCTAAATCTCCCCAAGTATAGACAAACAGGAAGAGCAAAGAAAAGGAGTTCAAAAATATTGTTAAAGGCTTAATTAAAATAAAGAAAAAATGGCAAAATTCCTCCTACCCGATTTAATACTTCCAGAAATTAAACCTTAATGTTCTAAGTTCTTATAACTTTAGAATATTGGATGCAATATGACTTTAGATACTGTTTTATAGTGAATTTTTATAAAAATACAAGAACACCCAATCTGAGGAAATTTTTGGAGGATTACTCCTTATAATATCAATTGTCTGTATTTACAGTTTCAAAGTTTGGGGAGAATTATCCTTTGGAAGATCAAGCCCATAACTGGTTGTTCAATTGAATCTGTAATTAATTTTTAATAAGTATATAGGTTTTGAAACAGAACACTTATGAAAGACTGGAAAATGCATGTTATTTAGAGTTCACCCTGGAATGCAAGTAAAGGTTTTGTGTTTTGAATATGATTACAATGAAAAGAAATAATATAATCCTACCTTAACAAATGTTCACATTAAAAAAAGAAACTCAAGACACATGAGTCTGATTCATTAAATTGACTCATTTCAGTGAAAAAACAACAACACACACAACTTGCTATCTTTTTCATTTGTTTCATTCTTTTCCCAGGGCGCTTACATTTTTTGTGTTTTGTCAATTGCTTATCAAAAATTTTTCACAAATTAAAAAACAAAACTTGATAAAGCTTTTGTTTCTATCTTTTTCATGTGATTTTAAATTTAAATGTTTATCTTTTTGGTTACTACTAAAACACATTTCCTGGTAGTCAGCTTTCTTTGTACTTATATGTGGAACTAAATGTTTTTAATTAAAAATAACAATCTCGGGGTATTAGTGGGGGTGGAGGGATTGAGCAAAAAAGAAAAAAAAGAGAGAACTCATGGACATGGATAACAGTGTGGTGATTGTTGGGGGGCGGGGGATGTGGAAGAGGGCATAAATGGTGATGGAAAAAATAAAATAAATGAAAAAATAATCTCTGGAATTTAGTTTCTTATAATCTTTGCAGTATACAACTTTTTATAACTTGCTGAGAATATTTTGTTTCAAATATATACCTGGTATTGCACCAGCAACCAAGTGAAATCAGGGCTGAATCCTAAACGGAATCATTCAAAATCAAGTTTCATCACACCTTGTTATAGAAAATTGCTTGAAATAAAAAAAATCACAACCTGACAATTTGTCATTGCTCTTGGTTTATGAACCTACAGAAATTTCTTTTCTTTTTAAAAAAATATAGTTTATGGTATAAGTACAGATGTATAACTTATGTATTACAATACTGTATACAATGAAGAATTATGTACATATATGCAATTCCATAAAGTTTGTTTCATTCACATAAATGCAAATTAAAATTTGAAGTGACTGGAAAAAAAAAATATAGTTTATTGATTTTTCACAGAGAGGAAGGGATAGCGTTAGAAACATCTATCAGCTGCCTCCTGCACGCCCCCTACTGGGGATGTGCCTGCAACCAAGGTACATGCCCTTGACCGGAATCGAACCTGGGACCCTTCAGTCCACAGGCCGACACTCTATCCACTGAGCCAAACCGGTTAGGGCCTTTGCTTCTTCTTTTTTTTTCAAGAACTTTTATGAGTTTACTTGAACCAAACAGATGACATGTGCCTGGGAGCAAGATCTCAATGCTCCAGAGAGTAACAGTTTTTTGTAGCTTCTTCCATGCACTTGAAAGTAAGGAGGAGACTAAGGAAGATTACATGCACGTGGGGCAGCAAGGTGGGGATTGGACTACAGGACAGTTAATAAGATTATATGCTTTCTTGAGGGTGGTGATGGCTTATTTCAAAGGTGTGTTAACTAGATGCACAGAAACAATGGACAGGGCTTGCTTTAAGGCAAAAATAAACCTTCTACTAAAAACATTATGTGCCTGGGATGTGACTACCCGCCAAGACTTGCCCAGTTAGGAATTTCTTTTCTTGATGTCTACCCTTAGTAATATTCAGACAGCAAACAGTTAAATAAAAAGATGGCTTAATTGTGTCTAATATAATGTAAGTAGTCAACATTTAATATTGCAATTGATTAAAATCCTTCTGAAGTTCTCAAAGGTACTGTAAGACTATAAGAGAGAGAATATGGTTTAGTTTTAGGAGTGGCCAGAAATGGCTGGTAATACTTACACTGCTATGGTTATAAGAAGCATATAGCTGGACTTGAACATCAAATAGCCAGCATAGCACACCCAGATGTCAGCTATGTAGTGCATGAGAAGGAGGGAGCTGGCGTTGACCACTGAGAAGAAGGCCAGGGCCAACTCTCCCAGAAGGTCCCAGTTGACTTTCACATAACCCACTGCAAAGGCAGCCACGGCCCCTGGCAAGGAAGCATTAGGGAAGATCAAACATGTTGACTTTCCATGTGGAATATCAGCATGATCTCTTAAAAATCAGGGCTCAAGTAATTCTAAAAGATGAATATATTGCTTTCAAAATTTGTGAAAATAGTGCAATCCACCTAAATGTGGACTTATCCTTTTCTCAACCACATTTTTCTTTGGCTTCTCTCTTACTTCCTATTCTTTCAATCATTTAGTTGCCACACTTTTAATTAGCATCATCTACATGCCAAACACTATTCTAGGTGGAAGGGCCAAAGTCCTAACCATGGCTGAGTGGGGAGAAGTGATACATAAACCCAGTTATTCAATACAACACGCAAGAGCAGGAATAGAAAAGGATGAGACCATTGCTCTGGGAGTACACTGGGCCCTTCCATATTTGCCTTTCTTTATCATTTTTATGGTAAGTTTTTTCAATGATGGGTAACAGATGTGTTGCACTGGGTAGTAAGTTTTAGTCTATATTTATATATTTATAAATATTTATATTTATATTTATATCATATTAACATTTATATTTTATTATATTTACATATTTATGTTACATTTTATTTATACAATGATTATATATTATAGTTACTACTTCTAATTAATAAGGTTAATCTTTATTATTCTTAATCTTAATTCTAGTCCCATCTTAACATCTTCAGATCTGGCCTAATTTAGTTGAGATTTTGGGTGAGCAAATCTATATTGATTCATATTAAGAGGTTGAATAATTGACTATAATTAGGGTTAGTAATTATAGTTCTCTTTAGCAAAATGAAAGGTATTTATGCTTCAAATTACTGACATTTGATTAATGAACCTTTTCACATTTGTTCTAGTAAAGACTATGGTTGCAAAGGATAAACACCTGTTCTTCCCCCCAGAACTTGGCTACAGGAGAAATCATTTCAGTGGAGCATTCGGCACGGTGCTGGTTTCCGGCAGTTAAACTGAAGTCTCCCAAAGAGGAGACAATAATAAACAGATGCCGCATGAATTTTCTGAACCTTTTTGTAAATGAGGGTGTGGAAATCTCCTACTTCCTGGAAAATATCTTCAAAGTCTCATGTGGCATTTAAGTTTCCATTTACCAGGACATAAATATTTATTGTAGAGCAAAGCTCAAGGGCAGAGTTCCCTCTGATATTAGAATCTTGACTCTCATGTATCTTTCCCTCATTTAAATCTCAGACAAAAGTAACTTGTGAACATTTTTGGTGTACAGCCTAGAGCTTCTAAAGGTGGGCGCTAGCTAAACCAACTTCTTTATTAACCAAAACTCTTCCAGTGATCACTTAGTTAAACCCATTTTCTAAAATAATAAAACTCCCACTGAGGTTCAAGCTGTATATTTGCCTTTTGACACTGAAAACAATTCTAGAAGAACAGGGGGCATTATTAGCACTTTTCCTGATGATGAAATGAAGTCTTAGGAATTTGGCTAGAGTTTGTTTGGTGCTCAATCCTGAGTTCCTGAGTTCCTTGTTGTAACACGTAAAAGAGAAGTGTCCTGCTCCTCTTTTCTTTTCCTGGTGCCTTCCATTCCTAAAGAAGATGAATATGCCCTCTAAACACAGCTAATTCACCACCATGGAGAAGTTTAGCAACTGGAAAAATGAACTTAATGAGGATAGCCCTTCAAAGGAAAACCAATCAAGGTATACTTACCTCCAAAGGTTGCAATAGCTTCTACTGCCCCATTATAGATGAAAGAATTTTGGGATGGTGCCTTATAGTCCCACAAGATTTGAACGTAGTTCAAGACCTGGTTGAAACCTGCTGTGGAGAGAGCCCACCATAGGGACCAGTATAGAAGACGCTTGGAGGAGTAGCACTCCTTCAAATCTTGGAACCACTGCACAAAAACTCTCCAAGCGACATTTTCTGGCTTTGGGCTGCTGAGCTGGCCGTCACCCAGGTTTCCTGAAGTGGTGGCTGTTTCTGAAGTGGGTTTCTCTTCATCACAGCCAGGTGTTGTCCCTTCACGTGGTTCATCTAACACTGTATTCGTGCTTAATGGCATATGTGCTTCTTTGCTGGGCTTTGCATGAAAAAACATGCTTTTCTTGGGCATTGGGAGAAAAAGTGAGAAAAGGAAAGCCACAGAGACAGAGACCAAGCATATGACGTTGAGGTAAAAATATGACATTTTGGCCAGCGACACCAAGAGTTGGGCCAGCACCGAGGCGGCCGTGTAGGCCACCAGCATGACGCCCCTGCAGTAGCCGCTCACTTTCTGGTAGTGCTCTGGGCTGACCACGCTGTATATGTAGGCAAAGTAGGCCACCTCGGTGGCAGTGACTATCCCATAGAAGAACTCCACAACCTGCATGGCTGTCACTCCTTGGCCAAACAGGAGCAGCAGGTAGGTAGTGATTAAGCTAATCCCTTGGAGGATGATGACCGGCTTGTAGCGGACGTAATCGGTGAGGATGAACACGGGGAGCAGCAGCAGCAGGTAAGAGTATGTCCACACGGGAAGGACCTCATTGGTTATCTGTGAAGTTGGAAAATGGATAGTGTGACCATGTAGCACCAGGAAATGAAAAGAACACCTTTCTTAGCCACGTACATACTAAGGCAGTGATGGCGAACCTTTTGAGCTCGGCGTGTCAGCATTTTGAAAAACCCTAACTTAACTCTGGTGCCGTGTCACATATAGAAATTTTTTGATATTTGCAACCATAGTAAAACAAAGACTTATATTTTTGATATTTATTTTATATATTTAAATGCCATTTAACAAAGAAAAATCAACCAAAAAAATGAGTTCGCGTGTCACCTCTGACACGCGTGTCATAGCTTCACCATCACTGGGCTAAGGTATGTCGCTTGCACAATGTCAAATTTTGTATCCAATTGGATAGGATATTCTTCATATTTTGAAAAAGAATGGAAAATGGATTTTCAAGAAAGCCACTAGGAAAACAGAGCTCCCCCCTTGCACCTGCCAAAAAAATTGTATACTTCTGTGCATCTCAGTAAGAGAATATGTACAACTGAACTATATTATGTTTAGGTGTATTTGAGTAGATCAGTTAAAAATTGCTCAACAGCCACTTCTAGTTTGTTTGGGCTCTTTAAAAAAATACCATTACCATAGAATTGTACACCTGAAATCTTATAATTTTATTAACCAATGTCACCCCAATAAATTCAATAATAATACCATTCCCTTCCTGTTTAAAGATTAATATTAGATAAAGAGGCTATCATGCTAAAAGAACCCAACAACCTTTATCTTTATTTGACCCATCCCTATGTCAAAAATGTCAGCCCTTCCAAAGTCTGGATAAATATATACACAAAGATCAAAGAGTAAATAATGGTATAGAATTATGGAGTTGGAAAAAGAAATGCATTTAATATTCTTCCTGGTCAAATTTTCTGGGCTCCCCAATTCCCCCCCCCCCCCAATTCTACTGGTTTGTCTCAATTCTGGCCTCTGTTTAAGATGGATTAAATAATGGAGTTAGTAAAAAATGCAATGCATGGGACCTCAAGGTTCATTCATAGGGAGAAAGTACTGAAAAAGCTGTTGATTTGGGGGTCGTGATGGGTACAGGTGCAGCTCCACCATACAAGCCTTTGCTCTATCCCTTCTGCTTTCTACAACATCAACTTTAGTGGGTTTAAATGCCAACAATGAGGGAAAGTTCAGTGATTTAAAAGGCTAGTGCAGTGATGGTGAACCTTTTGAGCTTGGCGTGCCAGCATTTTGAAAAACCCTAACTTAACTCTGGTGCCGTGTCACATATAGAAATTTTTTGATATTTGCAACCATAGTAAAACAAAGACTTATATTTTTGATATTTATTTTATATATTTAAATGCCATTTAACAAAGAAAAATCAACCAAAAAAATGAGTTCGCGTGTCACCTCTGACACGCGTGTCATAGGTTCGCCATCACTGGGCTAGTGTCACTGAGCTGTGCCTTAGGATGGACACATTAACTGGTCCGTCATGGTCGAAGAAGCAGACCCATGGGATTCACTTGCTGATTCTGAACCTGTATCTGTCATTGTTTTGCCTTAACCATGACATACTTCCATTTGGCAATCTTTGAAACACAGTTGTCTCTAAGTGATTTTATACCACACACAAGTTCACCTCTCTGTCCTTGCCACCTCATCACCAAGGAAACCAGCACCAATTAGTCTTCCCAGTGAAGCCACACCATCTTCAGTGTTTTCATAACTCTGGCTGGAGATTATACCAGTAAAACTAGCCCAGAGTAATTCTCCAGGTGAGTCACAGCATTTCCTGTTGCACTTTTAGAAAAAAAAAAAAAAAAAAGAGGTAGATCTTTTAAGTAAGAGAATTTGGCCTTCTGGGGAAGAAAATTCTGGTAGATAGTTTTTCAAAACTGAGGAAGTGTCCTAAAGAGATGCAACAATTCTTTATCAGAGTCTGCTTATACATCACCATCCTGGAAGTTTACTAGGACTAGTTCTAGTGCCTGGCAGCGACTTTATTTTAGGACTAGAGGCCTGGTGCATAAAATTCGTGCATAGGTGGTGTCCCTTCACCTGGCTGGTGATTAGGGCCAATCAGGGCCATCTCGCCCAGTCCCGATCGAGGCTGGTGGCTAGGAAGGCACCGAGGGAGGGCTCCAGGACATGTCCGGCCCCATCTTGCCCAGTCCTGATTGGCTGGACCCCAGCAGCAAGCTAACCTACCAGTCGGAGCATCGGCCCCCTGGTAGTCAGTGCACATCATAGTGACCAGTCAGTCGACCAGTCAGTGGGACACTTAGCATATGAGGCTTTTATATATATAGATTAGTGTCATAGAATCAATGGAGACCTGAAAGGTTCCCATGCAGTAAGACCAATGTTAGAACTCTATAAAAGTTAAAATATTTATCACAACCTGTAACGTATTTTGGTTTCCCATTTTTGCAAGTGTGAGGAGGAAAGAATAGTTTGAACAGTTCTATTAAATACAAATACCATGAAAATGAGATTCATTGAAGTCAGCACATTAATCTTATTCAAGTCTGGTAAAATTGAACCACATTAACACACATATTGATATTAACTTACCTCTGTGCTGGTCAGGTTTTTGTCTGGTCCAGATAAGTATGGGATAAGGAAGGGTTCTGAGGGTCTCATCATGGAGAAAAACCCAAATAAGCAGAGGATGACAGTGGGATAAATCCAGGAATGGCTCGGTGAAGTTTGGAAACAGTCCATGGCTGATGAAATGGAAACAGAGCCAATGTTAATTGATGTTTACTCTTTTTGGCTTCTTGGGAATAATGAAAAACTGATTATCTCCAAATGTTTATGGCAGTTTCATCCACCTGTAGCTGAAATGAAAAGGTGTGATGAATAACTGCTCTTGAATATTTCCTAGGTTAACCCGTCAAACCCTCTGTTGCCAATAAACTTCTTTTTCATTATTGCTGGGGTAGTCACTCTTCACTGTTCTTCATCACACACATGGTAATGAGTAGCCACTAATAAATGGTAAACAATGGGCCAATGAATGTTTGAAAATAAGTAAAACACATGTAACCACAGACATACAGAGAATAAACAGTCTGGGAGGGGCTGATTAATTCATCAGCAAATCCTATCGAATAAAAGAGGAAGATACAAATTGACCATGGCCCCGAACGCTTCCCATTGGCTAATCAGGGAGATATGCAAATTAACTGCCAACCAAGATGGCGGCCGGCAGCCAGGCACCTGAAGCGAACAGGAGGCTTGCTTGCTCCAGTGACGGAGGAAGCCAAGGTTCCCCGCCTGCTGCTGCCGGCCTCTGAGCTGCAACTCTAAGAAACATTGTTGCAAATATAGAAGGTAAACATTCCCCAGAAACCTGCTTTCAGCCAGCCGGGCTTCAGCCAGCAGGATCGCAACAGTGTTACAAGTATAGAACCCAAACAAACCCAGATCCCAGCTTTCAGCAGCAGAGGTCTCATAGCTGGAGCTGAGCCTCAGAGCTAAAACCAGCTCTCAGCTCCAGTGACAGCCATAGAAGGTAAATAAATCCCAGAATAAGAAAAAAA